AGTGCTTAAAGGGAAAAGGCGGCAGTTGTTTCGCAATCCCACAAGGTTTCCATGCACCCAGGTGCCGGTGCCGAAGGAAAAACCTCCAGCTTCTGCACGCCCAGCAGTAGGCGCATCCTCGTGAGGGAGCAAGTCAAAAAGCTTCAGCAAATCTACACGACTGGCCGAAGAAAGTTCCAAGAGGGATGTTGCAAAGATTTCGGCAGGGTGCAAAGGAGGGCCCCTTGGCTCTGCAAGCACATTTGCCTGGCACTGCGACGACTGGGAATCCACAGGGTGCGCCGCGGTCCCTGCGGGCTTTCACTGATTCGGGCGAGCCTTTGTGCACTCGTGCCCCGGGTGGGCACCACCACAGCCTTTCCACCAACACAGGTGAAAGCCTCGCCCGCACCTGCCTTTCTTGGACACCTTGAACTTGCAGGAGCCGCAGTTAAAGGCGAAACACACAGGTTTGTCATTCACCTTAGTGACTGCTCCCTCAGGCACGGTAATGGAAGCAGCAGTTCCACGATCCTTGCCTTTCTTGCCTTTGCCTTTGCCTCGGCCTTTGGGGGTGTCACCTTTCTCGGAGCGCTTGAGAGGATTGGACGGCAAGCTCTGGGCAGGCAGGTGATTCAGAAACTGCAACACATCACTGTGATCGCTGAGGAGCTTAAGCTGTTCATCAAGCGGTTTGACGCGGCCCGGGGCGGCAGCAAGGGCTCCTAGCAGATTGGAGGCGGCCAGGGTGAACAAGTGACGATCGGCTGCCACGATTTGAGTCAACGCCACTCCGTGGTAGCCAGGAGGGGAAGGCCGCTCAAGTGTCACAAAAAGCTTATGCACCCAAGCCTCCATGGCCTGATATGTCGCGAGGCCCGCAAGATCAAAGGCGAGGCTCCTTCTCGCCCAAGCCTGGCGAAGGGTCCACTCGGAACCCGTGTCACAATGTTCGAACTTGTCAAGCTTGGAAGTGACCTTAAGGTTTCCATCTGAATCAATCGACAAAGCTTTGTCTGCTTTGGCCGACTGAATTTCCTGAGCCCTTGAGAGGTACTTACCGGGAGGCAGGTAGACTAGTGTCCCGGTTTCAAGCATTTCCACAAGTCGATCTACCACACCATGGGATGGTGTGGTTTCTGGCGAAAAATGTATCCCTGTGAGCCGGGATTCCTGCGCCTTTTGCCTGGCAAGGCGCTCGGCAACTGGCATCTTCCTGGTGACGAAATCGTTTGAAGGCTCCACTCGGTTCTTCATGTCACTGATTGAGAGGGCCTGGGCCTCAAAAAGCAAACGTCGCAAGCAGGAAACCTGGTGGTGGTCGGGTGCCGGTGTGAAGACTGCACGAATCCATTCCTTGACCTCTTCCTCGCTGACGCTGTTGGGCGAGGCTGAAACTGCGAAAGCCAAGGCGCCAAAAGTGCTGTATCCCTGCGCTTCCAGGGTGGCGTGATTTGCAGCAGAGAGTCCCACCTTCAAAGCACGTTCTTTAAAGGCTGCTTCCGAGTCCAATGTCACTCCGGCCATGCTCGCAACCCTCTAGCGCTAAGTGACTTGAGTCAAGCGCCTCACACAAACAGACATTCGTGCGATAACTGCAGGCTGTCACTGAGACCGACGACACACCATGTTTTGCCTAAGCTGCATGCAGGCAAAGGTGCGAGGATGGGCCAAGGCCCAGATCTCCTCTGATCGTCGAAAGCTCGCCTCAAACCGGCTCCCGGTCGCGCGCTCTCCGGCACTGAATGCAGCAATCTGGATCTGCTGCTGCCGCGCCGGCCCTTCCGAATTTCATGTACGCTGCGGTCAAGAAACGACCACAAAAGAAATCCGTGCTTCGAGGGTCCTTCAGGCAGTGAACAACGCCTGACACCCGGTGCACGTAAACAAGTTCCAAGTCCACCGGCTGCTGAAAAGGTGCTCTCGCCACATCGGCTCGGTCTTCCCCCGAGAGTGCTTCCTCGCTCCCTTCGGAAGTCGAGCCACCCTCCTCTCCGCTAGCCTCATCGAGAGGCCCGATTGCGGGAGGGATCGTGTTTGCCTTAGGCTCAGTTGGCCTTCTATGCGAGTTTTCAGCGGCTGCAGCGAGGACTCTATCAACCTCCGGCAAATCCGGATCATAGCGTCCCTCACGAATGTCAATGAACATCGCGAGGATCTTGCCGTAGAGAGCGGTGTATGCCTGCCTAGAGTAGATCAAAGGAGACTTGTCTTTGGGCTTCACGTGATGGCCCACCAACCTCTGGTCACCAGAGGAGAAAGAGACCGTCGGGCACCGGGAGGTCCAAGTAGTAAGTGTCGCCTTCAGCGAGTGGGAGCCGCGCTTCAGGACTTCTTCCTCTTCAAAGCCAGCCCTCAAGAGGAAATCTTGCAACCAAGAGGTAGCCTCCCCCGCTAACATAGGCAGGGAAGTCCATTCTCCGGAAGTTTCCGACCAGCCCGGCAGGGTGAAGGCCCCAAGCTTCAATCCTTGGTTTTGGCGAGCTTCGAGCCAACGGTTTGCCCACGGAAGCTTTACACCCGATCCAATCGCTGCATAGGGCAGCAGCCGGGTTTTGGCCTCCTGAGTCTTCGAAGTCTTCGAGGTGAGGCCTTCCGCAATCACAAAGGTCTCGCCATGGGAGGTTTGCACGGTGATTGACTTCAGCCTTTGCGAATCCGTCCACCTCGCCCCCGAGTGTAGGCAAAATAAGTGCTGCCCCATGATACAAGCGTCTCGGTCGTTCTCCATGTCGATAGCCGTCTCCAGCGCCACGACCATCTTAAGAGTGAGCTCATCCCGTTGATTTAGGGGGGCCTTTGTCAGGTAGAGGTCTGCTGCCAAACCCTTGACCCTTGCACTGATGCAGTCGTCGAGGGCGACGTGCCTCAAGACGGCCACCCCATGCAAGAAGCGAAGAGCTTCCAGGAACTGGGAGGCCGAAGTGGGGCCCCCTTGGCCACTCTGGAAAACCTTCATGTAGTCAAAGAGGTGCTTTTCACCGAAAGAAAGCGGCGAGTGCAGGGAGCCGTTCAGTGCCCACCTAAAGAACTTCAGAAGGGCCGAAGTTCTCTTGCATAGGGTGCTGGTGGCCTTCAAGCGGAAAGCCGCCACGAAAGAGCTTTTGATCTCGTCTTCTTCAGCCGCACGACCGACCAAGCCTGCTAGGCTCATCCCCAGCTGAGTGGCCTCGACGTCGAAAAGGATCATAAACTTCAAGTTCTTTAGCGCGTGTGATCTAGCCTCTTCCTCGGACCTCTGCACAGGCATCCTTTCCAAGTATTTTCGAACCATGGGGTTCAGCTTCAGATTAAGCTCCGTCTCCAATGCCGGCTCGGGGTCCAGTGAGGTAGCAACCTCGGGGATGCCAATCAGCCTCAAAGGTCTCTTAACTTCCCAAGCGTAGCTCAATCTGCCTGGGAGCTCCCAGGCTTGTTTCGGCACCGTCTCGGCAGCCTGCTTCCTTTCAAGCTCCGCCGCAACCCTTTGCACATCCCTGTCGTCCATAGGCGAAGCCAAGAGTTTCGGAGCTTCGGGTCCACGTTCAACAACTGACCACACTGAAGCCTCAGCTTCATCACTGGCAGGCCGGCGCACATCGCCGTACCAAGCTTCCTCGGCTGCAGAACCGAGATCGCTCCAGCCACTCACTCCAAAGCAGGTGCCGTCATCAGCCTCCTGAAGATCAAGTTGGTCCCTCGCGTCACTTCCAGCCCGGGACAGCAAATCGTCAAGATGTTGTTGAAACTCGAGATCGCCTTGTTCGTCCTCCAACCGGACGGGGCTTTCGCAACGAGGCTGTCCTTCTGAAAGATGAGAGTTTTGGTCTGGCTCTGGCTGAATAGGGACTCCTTCAGCCGGGGCTTCCTGCGGAGGTTCCTGGGCCGTAGAACCCCTTAATTCACAGGAATCGGCCGCAAAGGATTCCATGGCAGAAGAAAGCCTGGGTCAACAGCTTGAAACAAAACTTGCATGACGAAGCTCAGCCAAGTTTTCGAAGGCTTGCAACATGTGCAATCAAGGCAACACGCAAGACTGCGGGGCACAGCGCTGAGCTTTCTAGCACGATGTCCTCCTGAGCTCAAAATTGTAGCGGAGTCCTGGAAAAGAGGCGACCTTCAGGAGGCCGCGTGGCACTATCCAGGGTTGGGGGTCCGCCGGAAAGCAAGGGCATCGGCTGAGGCAGGTTAGGGATTAGGGTCAGCGCCGCGAAGGGCCAGCACCGCAGCCTCGAGAACAGCAATGCGCGAAGCCTGCTGCTCGAGCCCCTGAGTCAAACTCTGGATTGCACTGCTGAGCAAGAAGAACGCACTTGTGTAGGAAGGGTCCTCGCCAAGGCGGCGGACCGCACCTTCATCCTCCAGGAGCAAATGCTGCAAGCGGCCCTCAGCAGAAGAGACCCGATAGTGCAAAAGCCTGAACTCAGAAGCTGGAACCTGCTGTTCAAGGGCAGTGGCAGCCTCACGAAGAACCTGAGCAAGAAGAGAGCCCCCTGACGGAGCACGCCGTGGCGGGCTCCTGGATCTGGAACGAGAGCGGTCTCTCTCGTGCGGAAAACTGGGGGCCGGCGCACCTGACTCTGAGAAGGCCTGCGACCACGGAGGCGGGCCAGCAACAGGCTGCTGAATCTCACGAGAAGCACGCAAGCTCTCTTGCAAATTTTCCAAGAATGCCCGTTGGGACTCGGTACAAGCGTCACTCATTTTAGGAACGAGAAAAGCAAGCCCTGAAGGAATCCCAAAAGGAGGCACTCTGCGGTTCGCGCACTTGCTGGAGCTCGGCAAGCTGAGGTTCCACCTCGCGAATACGGCGCTCACAGGCTGTCACGTGGGCACTAAGGGTGCGCAGCTGCAAATCGAGTTGATACAAAAATTTTCTCTGTGGCTCCCAAAGCCACTTGAGCTACAAACTGCCGGTGCATTAAACATTCGGAACTGAGACATGCGTGAAAAGAACTGCATGCAAAGACCAGACAGGTATAAAAACGTTTGTGTGATAAAATCATGATTTCACACAAATTTAAAAGATTGAAATCATGCAATTAAACGGTTCGCGGTTGTCGCCATTTTGAGGGCGAAGGATTTCCCTCAAATAAAACAACCTTGGAGTTTAGGTGGAAAGAGTTATCCGCCCGCGGAAACGTGTCAAGGCGCTTAGGGGCAACCCCTACGGCCTGATGGCCATAAAGACCAGCCTTGAGGGCGGAGGCTTGGAGCAGCCGGCCACGCACCCACCTGCGGCGAATGCGGAGGCGGCGCATGTGGCGGACACGGCCGATGCCGGTGCGAAAGCGCTTTTGGGCGGTGGTGATGCGCCGCCGTCGGCCAGCAGCGCAGTCAAGACCTAGGTCCTTAACAAGGTCAGCGGTGTCGGGTTCGCCCGGGCGCCGCAGCTGCTGAAGCGCGGCGCGAGCGCGGGCCGTACCGGCGACGAACTTGGTCTTTGTGGTCTCAACCTCTAGGCCCTCAAGGCCGAGGGAGGTATGAAGAACCCGGTAGGCCTGAAGCGCAGAGGAAGCGACCTCGACAGGGTCGGAACCAACCACGTCTAAACTAACGTCGTCCAACCATAAGTCTGTGTTGGTGACGAAGGGAAGGGAAGAAACCTTCTGGAGTGGCTCGGACATGGTAAGTTTGGAAAGCGAGGGTGCGAGAGGGCAGCCCTGGGGTACGCCCCGGCCAGGAAAGAGCGGCGTGGCAGCGATCGAGTCGGCCACGAGACAGCGAGGACCCTGGTAGACCTGGAGGGCGAACCAGAGGTGAAGAGGAGGGAAACTGTGAGCGAGCCCTTGGAGGAGAAGGCGCTCATAGCTCACAGAGTCGAAGAAGCCTCGCAAGTCGAGGAAGAGCGACACTATGTGCGTCTTCTCGAGCTTTGAATGCTCTGATCTGACAAGGCGGGCCAGCGCCGTGTCCAGGCTTGCCTGGCCTGGAACCGCCCGGTCCCACGGGTGGGCGGGGGCGTAAGCCGACGTCCAAGCCGAGATGTCCTGCCACCTAGCTCGTGCCCACAATCTCCACAGACACGGTAGAAGACTTATGGGGCGCTCCTTGTCGGCCGACTTCGGGAGAAGAGCGACCTGAACGCAGGTGAGCTGGAAAGGCAGAAGCACCTCAGCCTCAGCACGGGCGAGGAAGTCGGCAACGAGCTGAAGAGCCGCCGGGTCCAGTGCACGAAGGGCTGGGTAGCTCCAGCCGTCTGGGCCCCCTTTCTTTTTCCCTGCTTTCTTGAGAAGTTTCTGAAGGTGGGGAACAGTCAAGGGAGCCAGGGTGCCAGAATGGGAGACGGCCCTCGAGCGGAGCTCCGCGAGGAGAGGGTGAGCAAAGTGCTGGGGGAAAACCGAGGCATGCCAAACGCGGGCCCAATGTTCATGCCTTTCAAAAACACGGCGGAGTCCATCGCAATCTTGAAAGGGCCGATCAAGCACCTGCTCATGGGACTTGATGGCTCGAAAGAGCGGCCCCAGGTGTGAACCGGAAGCTTCCTCCAGCCACTCACCGTACTGGTCAGCTTGCTGGGCAGTTTGCTCGCGCCGGAGTTGGCCAAGGAGGGCAGTGCCTTCGGCGCGGAGGGTGGCAGAAGAAGCAGAGCCGTCGCGCACCCGGTCACAAAAGGCGCGGACCTCCGAGGGGAGGGAAGTGTCCGAAGAGGACCACAAGAAGGACTGCACAGCTTCGGGCCGGTCGAGAAGGTGAAGCACGGCTGACACCAAGGAGGGGAGCTGGCCTTTCCAGGCAAAGGTAACAGAGTGGCCCTGGACGAGGGGCTTGTGAAGAAAGGGGACGAAAGCCCCACGCCCTCGGTCGGGGAACCCGTGAGAGACCTCGAGGAAAGAGCTCAACTCGGCGAAGTCGAGAGTGAGCTTGTCGGTGGATGTGAGGCCAAGAAGATTAACCTCAGCGATAGGCGAGGGGCTCGGGACCGAGGGTTGAAAAGGCAAGGGGTCAGGAAAGACCTCACAAAAGGTAGCGAGTTGCGGGTAGGGAAGCTGCAGAGAGCTGAGCTGAAGAGTGGCCCGCAGAGCGCAGTGAGGCTTGAAGGGAACGACCCAATCCTGAGCGACTTGCAGAGAAGCAACAGCCGGAGACGAGACCAGAAAGTAGTCAAGTTCCCGGTCGGTTGCTGCGGTGGGTGAACCGGAACCCAGGAAACGCCCATGGGAAACTTCCTCAAGCCGAGTGGCGAGGAGATCTTGTATGGGGTTGTTCCAGTCACCAGCAACGATCCACACACCCCGGAGGGAAGGAAGGAAGGCTAAGAGGCGAGCAAGGACATCGGCGTTGACCGGAGAGTTAAAGCCAGTACCGGACTGGAGGTAAATGGAAACCAGAGTCAGTTCGAAACCGGAACACCGAAGCGAAACCGCCAGGAAACCACAACCCTCCACGGTGTGGGTAAGGACATGACGGGGATTAAGGAAGGAGCGGATGAGGACACCGAAACCTCCCAAGGGGCGCCTCTTATCACTCAGGAAGGGAGGCGAGGTAAAGAGGCGAAACCCTCTTTTAGAGGCGGCAATCGCAGCCTCATGAGCAGCCTCAGAGGTGAGGTGAAGCTCCTGGAGCAGAACCCCATGGCCTTCAAGAGAGAAGGCCCAATCCCGAACCTCTGGCCTCCAGTGAGTAACATTGGCAGACAGGAGCCTAAAGGAAGCGGGGCTGTGGGGAGTATTATGTTGCAGCGAGAGGACCTGAGCCATTTGCTTGAGGAGGTGCCACTTTGCGGGGGAGGGCGTGTCATCATGGATGGCATCAAGGGCATGTTCCAAAAACCACTCCTCGGAAGAACCCGGCGAAATAGCATCCTCAACCTTAGAAGCGAACTCAACAAGGTCGCGCTCAACCGAGGACGCAGGCTTCAGGGCCTGGTCGCACATCTCGACCTGGAGCTGGGTGAAAAGGCCCGGCATGTGGAGCCGGTGGCGGCGGTGCTTGGACCGTCTTTCACGCCTGGCACCTCGACGGCTGGATGGGCCGGAGGACTGGACCAAATTAGGGTTCCAGGTCGAGGCAGGGCTGGGGTCCAAGGCGAAAGCCTGGGGGAAGTAAAAATGCCCTGTGAGAGGAGAGGGAGGCGCCACCAAGGACTCAAGAGACAGAATCCGGGGCTGCCGTCGAGAAGAGCGTAGAACCTCTACCCACTCAGGGGAGGAGGAGGTAGGGCTGGCCGAAGGGGGAACGAACACCTGAGGGTGAAGGAAAACTCCCGAACCTTGGCCGTCAAGATTGAAGTTAAAACCCGAGGAGGAGGCCGATGGCTCCTCAAAGAAAGAGGTGGGCCAGTACCCCTCGCTCGGAAGGAGTTGGGCCACGGGCAGTTGGCCCGACGGCGGAGTGAAGAAGGCCCTGCCCGAAACCTCAGGCTCCAAAACAGCTAAGCCGAGGGGAGGAGGTATGCGGGAGGGGACCTGAAGGACGGAAGGTGCGGGGTCAGAGGCGGGAGAGCTGGGGCCAAAGGGAAACGAAACTGGACCAGAAGACCCCCAAAAATCCGCCCCCGAACCCCTACCATCCTCCTACGAACCAGTCGCCTTGGCAGCGTCAGTGGCCGAGGGCACTCGGGAAGGAGAGCGGCTCCGGGTCTTCGTCGGAGTGGTGAGGCCGACCTGGCGAGCCCCAGGGTTCTCGGTAGAGCCGTCCTGAGCCTCGTCGGTGAGATCACCGTTGGCCTGCCCGTCACCTGCCGGAGGAGGGGAGCCGAACTTAAAAGGCGTAGGTCCGAGGCCAGGGGGAGCTTGCATGTCCGGAGGGGGCTTGATCGAGGGTCGAAGGGCATTGAGGTTGGCCTTTTGGTCCTCCGTGAGGGCCTCTGGAGAGAGCCCCAAGGCTTCGAGCACTAAGTCAACCTCACTCTTAGGGACGTGCAGTAGGACTCCGCGCTCATAAGTGTCAAAAGCACTTCTGGCCACATCGGTTGCCTCAGAGATTGCCTCCTGGAGTTCCTGCATGCCGCGGAGAAGGTCGTGGAGCTTGGTCTTGGTCTTGTTGATCTCCTCCTGGAGCCTGAGCTTCTCCTGTCCCAACTGCTTGAGCTTCAAGATGGAACGACGGAGAGCGTTACCCGACTCGCGACCTTCCTTAAGAGGGTCGGGGGTTGGCTCAGGAGGGGGTGGAGGCAAGGCCTGGCGGATGCACTCCGGGAGCCGCTCCACGTTATCCTGGAGTAAGGCCAGGAGGTCGGGCTCCATATCAGCATCAGAGGTCTGAGGGGCCTCAAACCCGGCATCGCTGAGCTGGGTCCTGGCCTCATCCGGGAGATCGGCCCACACCTTCCGAAGGGACTTAAGGATGCGGGTGTTGCGCTTGGAGCGGTCATCCTGGGCCTTCGTTGGGCGAGGAGTGGGCGTGTCGTCAGAGAGGAAGTCGCCAACCTCAGCCGCATCGTCAAAGGTGACCTGTCTGCGGGGTCGGGAAGGGCGCCTGCGTGGGGTCCTTGTCGGGGACTGGGTCGGTGTGGAAGAACCACTACCAGGCTTGGGAGCCTTGGGGAACCGAGCCTGGCAGGCCGGGCAGGTGGGGTGCTTCCACAGCTCGTCGACCCAAACCCACGCCTTCTGACAGCGCTTGCAAACATGGTAGGCGCGTTGCGACATGCCTCGACCCATATAGGTGAGGGAACCTCAGCCTCGGGCGAGGAGCCAGGCAACCGTCAGCTGCACGAAAAGCACAAGCCTCTAGCCAGTCTGGAAGCAACTGTGCAAGCTCCAGACGGCGAGGGAGTGCGCGCAGCGAGGGAAAGGTCTGCCGGGCTCAGGCGGAGCGCCTGGCACAGCACGTGCAGTACAGCCTACCGGGCCGCCCACCAAACCCTTGCCTGCTGTCAGGCCTACGACCTTTACCAGGTTGGGTTTGGGGCCTCTTTGGAACCTCTAGAAAAGTAGGCCCCAAGGCTGGCCACGACGGCACTGCAACGTCTGAGCCGAAAACTTGAGCCAAAGCAAACTTTTCGTCGCCGAGCTGCAAGCCGTCGTAGACGTGTCCGAAGATGAATTCAGCATGCATTCTGGTGAGAAACCTCAGCCACCTTGGGCAAGGGCGGCCCTACGTCCTGGACTACAGGTGGCTAGTTACACCCGCCAACCTCAGTCGTTTTCAGACGAGGGGTAGGCCCTACCAAAGTCTGTACAGGCGGGGTTCTACCGGAGCCCGGGCAGGCTGCCTCAGAAGCAGACCTCAGCCGAACAGGCGAGGAAAGGACCAAGGGGTGCCCGGGGCCCTCCAAGCACCGCTGAGGGTCGAACCTCAGCCAAAAGGCGAGGAAGGAGCCTGAGGTGTGCCTGGGGAGACGAGTGCCAAGGCTCGGGGCCTACGGCACGGAAGGCTGGGCAGCCTGGGCAGCTGCCAGCTCGCGCCTTCGCTTGGCCACATAGGCCGTGGGTAGGCGGACGTGCCTGGAGGTCATTGCATGGGCTTTCATCGTTTGTTGATTGGAAGTAGTAACGCCGCATGCAAAACAGCGGAGGAAGTTCTCGCTGAAGACCTGCACGTGGGCCGGCTCTTGACGAGCCTCAGCTGGAGCCGGACCTCTAGCCGGCCGGCGAGGAGACAAGCTTGGAGAGTCCGTCGCTTCGTCACCTGAGACATTTGAGGGGTTCGGGAAGCTAGGACTGGCCCCTCTCGCAACCGCTGCGAGGCCAGCGAGCTCTGGCTCTGCAGGGTCCGGCGGGGCCGTGGAGAGACCCGAAACCTCAGCCAAGGAGGCGAGGGTCTCAAGGGGGCCATTGCCAGCTGTGGAGGCAACGTCTGGAGTTGCAGCTGCCGAAGCAGCGGTGGAGATTGTGGCCCCTTTACCCGGGCCACTGGGTGTGTGTGGGGCAGGTTCACCCTTCTTTGACAAGGTACCAGGAGGGCCTGAGGGAGGCCGGGCGGTAGCCTTGGGCTCGGGGCCCACTGAACCAGAGGTTGCTACCTCAGCCAAAGGCGAGGGCTTGACCTCAGGGGTTGCCAGAGGGCTTGGAAGCAGGGGTGCCCTGTTGGGGAAGGCCTGGGCGCGGAGCCTGAGCTAGGGCCGAGGAGGCGGACTCCACATCCGGCTGCCGAGGAGGAGCCGGGGAAGGAGAAGCGACCTCAGCCGAAGGCGAGGAAAGGCTCTTAGGACCTGTCGGGGGACAGGCCTCAGCCACCGGAGAGGGCCGGGGGCCGGCCGGGGCTGAGGAGGCAACTCCAGCAGTGACTGAGTGCTCCACCTGTGCGGGAGGCCCACGGTTACGGGGGTGAAAGCTCATCGGAGGACCAGTTGATTCCGCGAGCGGGGAAGACCCACGTGTGGCCAGAGAAGCAGCACAGGGGAGGGAAACCTCAGCCGGAGGCGAGGAGGTTGCTGGGGGGAGCTCTGGTGCCACCTCTCGTTGGGGGACCTCAGCCACCAGGGGCGAGGGCGGCACCGCGAGATGCGGGCTGTCATGAGCCGCGATCTCGTGCTCGTCCACGAGCAACCAGCGAACTCCTGGCTGGAGTTGCGATCCTACGGCCCGGTGGGTTCCGAGGAACCCACCGTCCGGCCATATTCGCGCGCTGCCGGCAGGTAAAGCCCGCCAGTCGCGACGTTTCTCCGAGGAGAAACTGGAGGAGAGCGGGTTGAGCGTGAGGCGATGCCAATCGCCCTGCCCCCCCCGCCTTGTTTCGATCTCGAGATAGAGCACATCCGGATCTTTGCGTTTCGGCGGGGGGGGGCGGGGGGGGTTGGGTTTGGCAACGGGGGGTGGGAGGGGGGGGTTGTCTGCCGGCCTGGTCGCCACTGCCGCTGGGGCAGGCTGCGGGGAGGAGGACGGGGAGGAGTCCGCAGACTCCACCTCCATTGCAACCTCAGCCACTGGGGGCGAGGGGCCGGCAGAGCCTGACGACTTACTGGCCGTCGTGCGGTTTGTCACGCGACGTGACCAGGGAAGGGGTTGGTCCTCGTCGTCTTCGACCTCAGCCCTTCGGCGAGGAGCCGGTGGTGGTGCGGGAGGCGGATTCGCCTGCACCCGCTCACGGTCATGCTCCTGGCGAGCTTTGGCTTTAGCTCTTGCAGCCTTATCGGGACGCAGCTTGCGTCTCGACAGGCTGCTCGTGCTGTGCCATATGCCCGTTTGGTCGAAACGCTCCTGCTGTTCGTGGGCGTGACGACCCTTTCCTTTGGGCCCCATGGTCGCCCTTCTTGAGCCGAAGCTAGCGGAAGAACTGAGTGATTGGAGGGCACGCGGCGGAAGGCTTGAGCTTGGGCTTGGGACGAGGCTTAGCTTTGGGCTTGGAGGCGGAGGCACTAGGAAGAGCGAAGCCTGGGGCCTGTAGAGCTGGGGCCTCAAGTGCCAAACCAGGGCTAGCAAGAGCCTGGGCCCGGGGAACCTCCGAAGGAGACCTGGGGCCTTCGAAAGGGGAGGCTTGGGGGTTTGGAACCTCAACCGAAGTGAGGGCAGAAGCAGACGCAGAACCCTGAAGTGAACCCCAGGAGCAAGGCACGGAGGGGACCTTAGGGGCAGCGGCAGAGGCAGAAGGAGAAGCCTGGAGCCCAGGGGAGGGGGAACCCGTAGAGAAAAACCCCCGCACCGAAGGAAGCGCACAAGGCGCTACGAGCTTTTTTGGCGCGACGCCCATGCGAAGAGTCACTTGGCCATGGCACTGGCCACACTTCCAGGAAGGCCCCTGGCGCACAAGACTGTGCGAGGGGTGGACCGGAAAGGGGCACGAAACCGCAGCCGTTCGGCACGGGAATGAAATGAGGCGCTCAAAGGTTTCCGGCGTGTCAACCTGGTAGATGCAAAGGGAGCACTCGGAGCATTTAACACACATGTTGAAACTCTTCTCCTTAGAGGTGCGAGACCAAACGTGCCCTCCCGGGAGAGGGGGTTCGTCAAGAAGGGCCTGCAACCTCTGCCTCTTGTTGGGCGAGGGGGAAGAGGAGGGCTCAAGAGCGGAGAGGAGACGGTTCTTCCGCGGCACGAAATCCTCCTTTTCGGCCTTGGCCAAAATGGCGACCGCGCGGTGACCGAGATACTCGCAAACGAGGGAGGTGACACGGTCTACCTCCTTCTGGGCGGCGAGACGGTGTGGGGTCTGAACCTCCTCCGCGCGGTCCCTGGCGAGCTTGTCCGCCAGAGAATTGAGCTCATGGCGCCACAGGGCTTCAGCGCCGAACTCAAAACAAAAGTCCGAGGGACTAAGGTGAGAGCGCACCCAGTGGGGTTCAGCTCGGTGCCTGTGTTCCCAAGCCTTGGCCCACACAAGCGAGGTGCGCTTCGTGAAGGGCCCCTGGAGGCTGCGCAGGGCGGGCTGGCAGTCGCAGGTGAGGTCAAAAGTGCCTCTGGAAGAGAGGAGGACCTGAGCGATGGCCTCGCTCTCGCCCTCCGGCACAGAAGCAGGGGCAGGCAAAAGCCCGGACAGGGTGCCCAGTACGACAAGGTTGCCATCACTCCTGCTGGCAACCACCGCGGCCCAGCCGACCGAGCGGAGGCGACTATCCTTGGAGGCAGGGCCTCCGGAAGCGTCGGTGGCAACGCAGAGCCCGGTTAAGTCAGGGGTGCCTTCGAGAAAGAAGCCAGTACGGCGTACCTCAGCCTCGCGGGCGAGGGGCTCGCGGGGGGAAAGGGGGCGCATACCGCGCAACCAAAGGCAGTCGGCAGGGTGGCGCCGCTTGTAGGACAGCAGCCAGCCCGCGGGCATGAGGGCGCCGGGGATGTTTTCGCACTCGTAAAGGAGGTGGTGCAGGGTGTTGGGGCCGCCACAGAACTTGCACCGTTCCTTCCCTCCGTTGCCAGAGTGGAGGAGGGCGCCTTGAAAGACGGCCCTAAGGCCATGCCGCCAGGGCTTCGTCCGAGGACTGGCTAAGAGGCGGCGGGGCACGGTCCAATCGATGCCTAAGGCGGCACCAGCGGCAGTGGAGACGGTGCCGATCCGGGACCAGCGCTCGAGCTGTATGACCCGGCGTAAGAAAGCAGAGGCCTCAAAAACCGCTCCCGGATCGCGGAAGCGGAAGTGAAAGGTAGCTTCGCGGTGTGTCCAGACCTCAGGGGTAGGGGCAGACACCCGCAAGTCGAGTAAGTACTGGATGAGCGCGGAAACGGGTCCGTTCACGATTTTCCACCCATGGGTGGCAGAGGCCTGTCTGGACCAGGAGGAGGCCCAAGTGCGGGTGAGTAACCGCACGCCTTCGGGTGAGGCGCTGGAGGCAAGGCGCCCAAGGGCCTGGAGCTGTTCCACAACCACAAGCTGGTGTGGGTCAACGGCCTTGTGGGACATGAGGTCGAGAATGACGTCGGCGGAACCGTGCTCGAAACGACCAGCCTCGCGCGCAACCGCCGAGCGTAAGACCTTAAGGCGCTTAGGGGCAACCCCAACGGCCTGGTGGCCATAAAGGCCAGCCTTAAGGGCGGAGGCTTGGAGCAGCCGGCCACGCACCCACCTGCGGCGTATGCGGAGGCGGCGCATGTGGCGGACTCGGCCGATGCCGGTGCGAAAGCGCTTTTGGGCGGTGGTGATGCGCCGCCGTCGGCCAGCAGCGCAGTCAAGACCGAGGTCCTTAACCAGGTCGGCGGTGTCGGGTTCGCCCGGGCGCCGCAGCTGCTGAAGCGCGGCGCGAGCGCGGGCCGTACCGGCGACGAACTTGGTCTTTGTGGTCTCAACCTCTAGGCCCTCAAGGCCGAGGGAGGTATGAAGTACCCGGTAGGCCTGAAGCGCAGAGGAAGCGACCTCGACAGGGTCGGAACCCACCACGTCTAAACTCACGTCGTCCAACCATAAGTCTGTGTTGGTGACGAAGGGAAGGGAAGAAACCTTCTGGAGTGGCTCGGACATGGTGAGTTTGGAAAGCGAGGGAGCGAGAGGGCAACCCTGGGGCACGCCCCGGCCAGGAAAGAGCGGCGTGGCAGCGATCGAGTCGGCCACAAGGCAGCGAGGACCCTGGTAGACCTGGAGGGCGAACCAGAGGTGAAGAGGAGGGAAACTGTGAGCGAGCCCTTGGAGGAGAAGGCGCTCATAGCTCACAGAATCGAAGAAGCCTCGCAAATCGAGGAAGAGCGACACTATGTGCGTCCTCTCGAGCTTTGAATGCTCTGATCTGACAAGGCGGGCCAGTGCCGTGTCCAGGCTTGCCTGGCCTGGAACCGCCCGGTCCCACGGGTGGGCGGGGGCGTAAGCCGACGTCCAAGCCGAGATGTCCTGCCATCTAGCCCGTGCCCACAGTCTCCACAGACACGGTAGAAGACTTATGGGGCGTTCCTTGTCGGCCGACTTCGGGAGAAGAGCGACCTGAACGCAGGTGAGCTGGAAAGGCAAAAGCACCTCAGCCTCCGCACGGGCGAGGAAGTCGGCAACGAGCTGAAGAGCTGCCGGGTCCAGTGCCCGAAGGGCTGGGTAGCTCCAGCCGTCCGGGCCCCCTTTCTTTTTCCCGGCTTTCTTGAGAAGTTTCTGAAGGTGGGGAACAGTCAAGGGAGCCAGGGTGCCAGAATGGGAGACGGCCCTCGAGCGGAGCTCCGCGAGGAGAGGGTGAGCAAAGTGCTGGGGAAAAACCGAAGCTTGCCAGACGCGGGCCCAATGCTCATGCCGTTCAAAGACACGGCGAAGTCCATCGCAGTCTTGAAAGGGCCGATCAAGCACCTGCTCATGGGACTTGATGGCTCGAAAGAGCGGCCCCAGGTGCGAACTCGAAGCTTCCTCCAGCCACTCACCGTACTGGTCAGCTTGCTGGGCAGTTTGCTCGCGCCGGAGTTGACCAAGGAGGGCAGTGCCTTCGGCGCGGAGGGTGGCGGAAGAAGCAGAGCCGTCGCTCACCCGATCACAAAAGGCGCGGACCTCGGAGGGGAGGGAAGTGTCCAAAAAGGACCACAAGAGGGACTGCACAGCGTCGGGTCGGTCAAGAAGGTGAAGCAAGGCTGACACCAAGGAGGGAAGCTGGCCTTTCCAGGCAAAGGTAACAGAGTGGCCCTGGACAAGGGGCTTGTGAAGAAAGGGAACAAAAGCCCCACGCCCTCGGTCAGGGAACCCGTGAGAGACCTCGAGGAAAGAGCTCAACTCTGCGAAGTCGAGAGTGAGCTTGTCGGTGGATGTGAGGCCGAGAAGGTTAACCTCCGCGATAGGCGAGGGGCTCGGGACCGAGGGTTGAAAGGGCAAGGGGTCAGGAAAGACCTCACAAAAGGTAGCGAGTTGCGGATAGGGAAGCTGCAGAGAGCTGAGCTGTAGAGTGGCCCGCAGAGCGCAGTGAGGCTTAAAGGGGACGACCCAGTCCTGAGCGACTTGCAGGAAAGCGACAGCCGGAGACGAGACCAGAAGGTAGTCAAGTTCCCGGTCGGTTGCTGCGGTGGGTGAACCGGTACCCAGGAAACGCCCATGGGAAACTTCCTCAAGCCTAGTGGCGAGGAGATCTTGTATGGGGTTGTTCCAGTCACCAGCAACGATCCACACACCCCGGAGGGAAGGAAGAAAGGCTAAGAGGCGAGCAAGGACATCGGCGTTGACCGGGGAGTTAAAGCCAGTACCAGACTGGAGGTAGATGGAAACCAGGGTCAATTCGAACCCGGAACACCGAAGCGAGACGGCCAGGAAACCACAACCCTCCACGGTGTGGGTAAGGACATGGCGGGGATTAAGGAAGGAGCGGATGAGGACACCAAAACCTCCCAAGGGGCGCCTCTTATCACTCAGGAAGGGAGGCGAGGTAAAGAGACGAAACCCTCTTTTAGAGGCGGCAATCGTAGCCTCATGAGCAGCCTCAGAGGTGAGGTGAAGCTCCTGGAGCAGAACCCCATGGCCTTCAAGAGAGAAGGCCCAATCCCGAACCTCTGGCCTCCAGTGAGTAACATTGGCAGACAGGAGCCTAAAGGTAGCGGGGCTGTGGGGGGTATTATGTTGCAACGAGAGGACCTGAGCCATTTGCTTGAGGAGGTGCCACTTAGCGGGGGAGGGTGTGTCATCATGGATGGCATCGAGGGCGTGTTCCAAAAACCACTCCTCAGAAGAACCCGGCGAAATAGCATCCTCAACCTTAGAAGCGAACTCAACAAGGTCGCGCTCAACCGAGGAGGCAGGGTTCAGGGCCTGGTCGCACATCTCGACCTGGAGCTGAGTGAAAAGGCCCGGCATATGAAGCCGGTGGTGGCGGTGGTTGGACCGTCGGTCACGCCTGGCACCTCGACGGCTCGATGAGCCGGAGGGCTGGGCCAAATTAGGCTCCCAGGTGGAGGCAGGGCTGGGGCTGTGGGAAGTAAACCGGCCCTGTGAGAGGAGAGGGAGGCGCCACCAAGGACTCAAGAGACAGAGTCCGGGGCTGCCGGCGAGAAGAACGTGGAACCTCGACCCACTCAGGGGAGGAGGAGGTAGGGCTGGCCGAGGGGGGAACGAATATGTGAGGGTGAAGGAAAACTCCCGAACCTGGGCCATCAAGATTGAAGTTAAAAACCGAGGAGGAGGCCGATGGCTCCTCAAAGAAAGAGGTGGGCCAGTACCCCTCGCTCGGAAGGAGTTGGGCCACGGGCAGTTGGCCCGACGGCGGAGTGAAAAAGGCCCTGCCCGAAACCTCAGGCTCCAAAACAGCTAAGCCGAGGGGAGGAGGTATGCGGGAGGGAAACTGAAGGACGGAAGGTGCGGGGTCAGAGGCGGGAAAGCTGGGGCCGAAGGGAAACGTAACTGGACCAGAAGACCCCCAAAAATCCGCCCCCGAACCCCTACCATCCTCCTACGAACCAGTCGCCTTGGCAGCGTCCGTGGCCGGGGGCAAGCGGGAAGGGGAGCGGCTCCGGGTCTTGGTCGGGGTGGTGAGGCCGACCTGGCGAGCCCCAGGGTTCTCGGTAGAGCCGTCCTTGGCTTCGTCGGTAAGATCACCGTTGGCCTGCCCGTCACCTGCCGGAGGGGGAGGGGAGCCGAACTTAAAAGGCGTAGGTCCGAGGCCAGGGGGAGCTTGCATGTCCGGAGGGGGCTTGATCGAGGCTCGAAGGGCATTGAGGTTGGCCTTTTGGTCCTCCGTGAGGGCCTCTGGAGAGAGCCCCAAAGCTTCGAGCACTAAGTCAACCTCACTCTTAGGGACGTGCAGTAGGACTCCGCGCTCATAAGTGTCAGAGCACTTCCTGGCCACATCGGTTGCCTCAGAGATGGCCTCCTGGAGTTCCTGCATGCCGCGGAGAAGGTCGTGGAGCTTGGTCTTGGTCTTGTTGATCTCCTCCTGGAGCCTGAGCTTCTCCTGTCCCAACTGCTTGAGCTTCAAAATGGAACGACGGAGAGCATTACCCGACTCGCGACCTTCCTTAAGAGGGTCGGGGGTTGGCTCAGGAGGGGGTGGAGGCAAGGCCTGGCGGATGCACTCCGGTAGCAGCTCCACGTTATCCTGGAGTAAGGCCAGGAGATCGGGCTCCATATCAGCATCAGGGGTCTGAGGCGCCTCAAACCCGGCATCACTGAGCTGGGTCCTGGCCTCATCCGGGAGATCGGCCCACACCTTCCGAAGGGACTTAAGGATGCGAGTGTTGCGCTTGAAACGGTCATCCTGGGCCTTCGTTGGGCGAGGAGTGGGCGTGTCGTCAGAGAGGAGGTCGCCAACCTCAGCCGCATCGTCAAAGGTGACCTGTCTGCGGGGTCGGGAAGGGCGCCTGCGTGGGGTCCTTGTCGGGGACTGGGTCGGTGTGGAAGAACCACTACCAGGCTTGGGAGCCTTGGGGAACCGAGCCTGGCAGGCCGGGCAGGTGGGGTGCTTCCACAACTCATCGACCCAAACCCACGCCTTCTGACAGCGCTTGCAAACGTGGTAGGCGCGTTGCACCATACCTCGACCCATAGGTGAGGGAACCTCAGCCTCGGGCGAGGAGCCAGGCAACCGTCAGCTGCACGAAAAGCACAAGCCTCTAGCCAGTCTGGAAGCAACTGTGCAAGCTCCAGACGGCGAGGGAGTGCGCGCAGCGAGGGAAAGGTCTGCCGGGCTCAGGCGGAGCGCCTGGCACAGCACGTGCAGTACAGCCTACCGGGCCGCCCACCAAACCCTTGCCAGCTGTCTGGCCTACGACCAGTAGTGGTTGGGTTTGGGGCCTCTTTGGAACCTCTAGAAAAGTGGGCCCCAAGGCTGGCCACGACGGCACTGCAACGTCTGAGCACTTGAGCCAAAGCAAACTTTTCGTCACCGAGCTGCAAGCCGTCGTAGACGTGAATTCAGCATGCATTCTGGTGAGAAACCTCAGCCACTTTGGGCAAGGGCGGCCCTACGTCCTGGACTACAGGTGGCTAGTTACACCCGCCAACCTCAGTCGTTTTCAGACGAGGGGTAGGCCCTACCAAAGTCTGTACAGGCGGGGTTCTACCGGAGCCCGGGCAGGCTGCCTCAGAAGCAGACCTCAGCCGAACAGGCGAGGAAAGAACCAAGGAGTGCCCGGGGCCCTCCAAGCACCGCTGAGGGTCGAACCTCAGCCAAAAGGCGAGGAAGGAGCCTGAGGTGTGCCTGGGGAGACGAGTGCCAAGGCTCGGGGCCTACGGCACGGAAGGCTGGGCAGCTTTGGCAGCTGCCAGCTCGCGCCTTCGCTTGGCCACTAGGCCGTGGTAAGGCGGACGTGCCTGGAGGTCATTGCATGGGCTTCCATCAGTTGTTGATTGGAAGTAGTGACGCCGCATGCAAAACAGCGGAGGAAGTTCTCGCTGAAGACCTGCACGTGGGCCGGCTCTTGACGAGCCTCAGCTGGAGCCGGACCTCTAGCCGGCCGGCGAGGAGACGAGCTAGGTGAGTCCGTCGCTTCGTCACCCGAGACCCCCGAGGGGTTCGGAGTTGCAGTTGCCCAAGCAGCGGTGGAGATTGTGGCCCCTTTACCCGGGCCACTGGGTGTGTGTGGGGCAGGCTCACCCTTCTTTGACAAGGTACCAGGAGGGCCTGAGGGAGGCCGGGCGGTAGCCTTGGGCTCGGGGCCCACTGAACCAGAGGTTGCTACCTCAGCCAAAGGCGAGGGCTTGACCTCAGGGGTTGCCAGAGGGCCGATGGCCTTGGAAGCAGGGGTGCCCTGTTGGGGAAGGCCTGGGCGCGGAGCCTGAGCTAGGGCCGAGGAGGCGGACTCCACATCCGGCTGCCGAGGAGGAGCCGGGGAAGGGGGAGCGACCTCAGCCGAAGGCGAAAAGGCTCTTAGGACCTGTCGGAGGACAGGCCTCAGCCACCGGAGAGGGCCGGGGGCCGGCCGGGGCTGAGGAGGCAACTCCAGCAGTGACTGAGTGCTCCACCTGTGCGGGAGGCCCACGGTTACGGGGGTGAAAGCTCATCGGAGGACCAGCTGGCTCCGGGAGCGGGGAAGACCCACGTGTGGCCAGAGAAGCAGCACAGGGGAGGGAAACCTCAGCCTGGGGGGAGCTCTGGTGCCACCTCTCGTTGGGGGACCTCAGCCACCAGGGGCGAGGGCGGCACCGCGAGATGCGGGCTATCATGAGCTCGTCCACGAGCAACCAGCGAACTCCTGGCTGGAGTTGCGATCCTACGGCCCGGTGGGTTCCGAGGAACCCACCGTCCGGCCATATTCTCGCGCTGCGGCAGGTAAAGCCCGCCAGTCGCGACGTTTCTCCGAGGAGAAACTGGAGGAGAGCGGGTTGAGCGTGAGGCGATGCCAATCGCCCTGCCCCCCCCGCCTTGTTTCGATCTCGAGATAGAGCACATCCGGATCTCTGCGTTTCGGCGGGGCGGGGCGGGGTGGGTTTGGCAACGGGGGGTGGGAGGGGGGGGTTGTCTGCCGGCCTGGTCGCCACTGCCGCTGGGGCAGGCTGCGGGGAGGAGGACGGGGAGGAGTCCGCAGACTCCACCTCCATTGCAACCTCAGCCACTGGGGGCGAGGGGCCGGCAGAGCCAGACGACTTACTGGCCGTCGTGCGGTTTGTCACGCGACGCGACCAGGGAAGGGGTTGGTCCTCGTCATCTTCGACCTCAGCCCTACGGCGAGGAGCCGGTGGTGGTGCGGGAGGCGGATTCGCCTGCACCCGCTCACGGTCATGCTCCTGGCGAGCTTGGCTTTAGCTCTTGCAGCCTTATCGGGACGCAGCTTGCGTCTCGACAGGCTGCTCGTGCTGTGCCATATGCCCGTTTGGTCGAAACGCTCCTGCTGTTCGTGGGCGTGACGACCCTTTCCTTTGGGCCCCATGTTCGCCCTTCTTGAGCCGAAGCTAGCGGAAGAACTGAGTGATTGGAGGGCACGCGGCGGAAGGCTTGAGCTTGGGCTTGGGACGAGGCTTAGCTTTGGGCTTGGAGGCGGGGGCACTAGGAAGAGCGAAGCCTGGGGCCTTTAGAGCGGGGCCTCAAGTGCCAAACCAGGGCTAGCAAGAGCCTGGGCCCGGGGAACCTCCGAAGGAGACCTGGGGCCTTCGAAAGGGGAGGCATGGGGTTCTGGAACCTCAACCGAAGTGAGGGCAGAAGCAGACGCAGTACCCTGAAGTGAACCCCAGGAGCAAGGCACGGAGGGGACCTTAGGGGCAGCGGCAGAGGCAGAAGGAGAAGCCTGGAGCCCAGGGGAGGGGGAACCCGTAGAGAAAAACCCCCTCACCGAAGGAAGCGCACAAGGCGCTACGAGCTTTTTTGGCGCGACGCCCATGCGAAGAGTCACTTGGCCATGGCACTAGTGGCCACACTTCCAGGACGGCCCCTGGCGCACAAGACTGTGCGAGGGGTGGACCGGAAAGGGGCACGAAACCGCAGCCATTCGGATGTTGAAACTCTTCTCCTTAGAGGTGCGAGACCAAACGTGCCCTCCCGGGAGAGGGGGTTCGTCAAGAAGGGCCTGCAACCTCTGCCTCTTGTTGGGCGAGGGGGAAGAGGAGGGCTCAAGAGCGGAGAGGAGGCGGTTCTTCCGCGGCACGAAATCCTCCTTTTCGGCCTTAGCCAAAATTGCGACCGCGCAGTGACCGAGATACTCGCAAACGAGGGAGGTGACACGGTCTACCTCCTTCTGGGCGGCAAGACGGTGTGGGGTCTGAACCTCCTCCGCGCGGTCCCTGGCGAGCTTGTCCGCCAGAGAATTGAGCTCATGGCGCCACAGGGCTTCAGCGCCGAACTCAAAACAAAAGTCCGAGGGACTAAGGTGAGAGCGCACCCAGTGGGGTTCAGCTCGGTGCCTGTGTTCCCAAGCCTTGGCCCACAC